TGAAGTCTCTGGCTGGGTTCCAGAACAGCTTGTGCAAGGTCCCGCCAGTCCTGTGGTACAATCCTATTATAAGTCGACCAAGAGTTTAACATTTGCTTTACATATGGGGAATGCATGCCATAAGATACTATTGCCTCCTTGAACTTTTTAAAATCCAACAGTTCAATTGGAGTCCAAATATTTTGTGTAATCATTTGATCAGGCAACTGCTGTATGGTTACAGGATAAATTAAAGGTGACTGTGTGAAAACAGGCTTTCTTTCTGTAACCTTATGATCCAAACTTGAGGGGACTGGACCTGCCTTGGCTGAGTCTGCCAGGCTGGGCTGACTCCCCAGGGGAGACCATGCCTTGGAGGAGGTGGGAGTAGGGGATGAATTTGGTGGGAGGGCTGAGAGGTGGGAGAATGGAGGATGGGGGAATCTGTGACTGATATGTTTTATATAAAACATATATATATATAAATTTTATATATAGATTTTATATAAAAATATATAAAAAGATTCAAGCTTACTCTGAGTCACAACAGAACCCACCCTACTTGTTAACCATCCCCTCCCATTTATCTATCCAGAGGCTGATTTTTCCCTCTGCTTGGCTTCAAACTGAGGGTGAGAGTATAATGAGATGTCTGAAAGGCCCACCCTATGCAAAAAGCAAATCAGGCAAAGAATTTTTATGTGTGGCAAGCCTATTTTCTGAGGCCCTCACACTGTCTCCCCACCCTCTCACAACCCTTTCCAGGAAAAGATCAAACATCACCATTTATAGCTTCTTAGTGAGTATTTAGTTTGGTGATTTGTATTATCTTGGGCATTTTTCTTCTCTATTTAATCTCAATGACCACAATGAAAGATGGAGAGTGGAGCCCCGGGAGGAGGCAAAAGGCCATATAGGAACTCAAGTTTACAACCCAGACCGAACACCCTGGTTCCATCCCAGATTTTCCCACAAGCCCTGTTTCTGTTTCTGGAAGAACTGTCACTGTGGTCCTTTTCCATCTTCTAATTGCCTTAGAGTAGAAAAGGTGACCTGGGTGTGATGGGCTTGGTGGGGTCAAGAGGACCAATGGGCACTGAGTTCAGTGTGTGGTCCAGAGGGACATTCCCAGGCCTTCTCACTAAGACTGGGGAGCAGCAGTTGTCTACAAAGATGGGGAGGGCAGGACTGGAGGACTGTCACCCTGTGCTGGGGAGTCAGGCCTTTGGGGGATATCATGCCCTGGGCTACAGGGACAGGGGGATCATGTTCCTGTTGTTCTCTTTGGCTATCAGGGTTTTGCCTCTGGATTAGGCTTTTGAGGGCTGAGAAAATCTACATTGTTTTTAGGCCTAGTATAAACACAAGCCTCCCGGACATCTTCCTGTTTCCTGCTGCATGCCCCTTAAAACTCACAGTAGAGTCAAGAGACCTAAGCAGCACATTCAGGAGTCCTTCCATTCTTACTGCACACCCAGTTGTCTTGGAGACTGATTATAAACAGTCTGCTTTCTTTTAGGGCTTCCCTGGATCCCAAGGGGAAAAGATCAGTCCTTGTCTCTCCTGGCAGACCAGATCCTAGAGTTGGTGGTGGGTAGCATCTCAGATTTTGGTCTGGGCACATTACTGGAGTTGGAGGTGAGTAGAAGACAGGCCCAGCTCTCCAGATATCAACTGCAGCCATCATTCCTGGCTACTCCTCTGTCTTTCATGCTGTATGGGCTGAGAGAGAAGAGCAGGCCTCCTGAGGCAGGGCAATTCTGGTAAAAAGGACCTCCCAATGAGGTTCCTGATTCCCACAGGGAGTAGGTAAAGAAATGAGAGCCAGGTAGGGAGTCATCCTCAGTCAGCATAGGGGTGCTGGAAGAGAGGACTTAGCCTAAGGCCAGGTTTCTATCACACAGCCTTCTCTTCTACCAAAATAAAACAAACACCAACAGGCACCTGCGGACACATGCCCTGTGAGATGAGAGGACTCATCTGAGACCCAGGACTTTCTATGTTTCCTTTTATTACCTAACTTTAAGAGATCTTAGGGGTGCCAGGTGGTGGTGGTGCAGAGATCCATGGATGGGCGCCAGGCTGAGCTCTGGGAATCCAAGGGATGAGAGAGAGGAGGGATTTTGTGGGCAGGGGACATTGAGATCATGATGGGAAACTATGCAGAGATGACCAGCCACACAAGTAGAAACCCATGAACTGTGGACTGATAGCTGTGGAGCCCCCATGGGAGTAGATTAGGCCTTTAGGATATGGGAGAGCATTGCTGAGCTTGAACTGTCTGGGTCGGCCCCAGCAAGGGGATCAGGATCTGTCCCTGGTGCATGGGTGGGATTTTTGAGCCCAGTGCCAAGGGTGTGACACCTTGCACAACCTAGGTGCAGGGGGGGGGGGGGCTTGGACCTGCCTAAACCAATTGTGCAAGGCTCTGCTGACTCCCCATGGGAGACCTTGACTTGGGTAGTATTGGGATGGGATATGTGTTATGGGGGAAGGCAAGGGGATAGGAAGAGGTAAGAGGGGGGTATCTGTGGTTGGTGTATAAAGTGAATAGAAAATTTCTTAATAAAAAAAAGAGAGAGATTTATTTATGTAGTGGGCTATGGTGAATGCCCAGACTCACACCTGGCCAAATTTTAGAGAATGCATAAGTATGCAGTGCTCATACCTCAACAGGATGTCTGAATCACACCCTCCAAGGCTCAGGGACTACTTTGGAAGAGGGAGGCAGAGGTTGTAGTTGATTTCTATATGTGTGTCCAGGACACCTTGAATACCACCAGGGAGGGACTCATAAGGCCCCATCCCTCAGTGAGGGACTTTATGCAGTTAATTTGTGCTGGGGGAAGGGATGTCACAAAATTAAAGGAAAAGGAAATGCAGGTATGCAACCACACTTGAACTCTATGGATGTTAAGGACAATATGGCACTTTGGGGGGTGTTTTTACTTGTGTTTGAGCAGTTTGAATATGTAAACCTCAACAAGGCTGGTTTGTGACTTGGAAAATCTACTAAAATTCATTGATGCCTGTTATGTCCAAAGAAAACTCCAGTTCCCAAAACTTCAAGGGCAGGCCCAGATATCCAGAAATGGGCTCAACCTGGACTTTAGGAGGATTTCTAGAAGGTAGATAGAAGTCAACATTTCTCAAAAACTTGTGAATCTCTACCCAAAGGTGTCATTTCCCTTATCACTGGCAGTGGAGAAAATGGCTGCCTGTGGTGCATATTACCATAATGAGGCCCATGCTAGCCTCCAGGATCCTTCAGGGTCACAAGTACTTGTTATGCATTTCAAAGTCTATGCTAGTGTCCTAGGTCCTCTCCCCTCCTCCCCTACCCTAAACTCCCTCTAGTTCAGAAGCATCCCTTCTCACACCTTCTCAACTCTTTATAAATCTCTTTCTTTGTGTCTCTCTCTCATCCTGTCTCCATGTTCCTCTCCCTCTCTCTGTCTCCTCCTCTGTCTCTTTCTCTGCCTCTCTAAGCTGTTTCTGTTTCTATCATTAGCCAGTTGGCTGGCTATGTTCAGCCAATATCTCCTTCTGCTTTGGACTTTCCAGATCACTCTAGCTGTTCTATCTCTGGTGTCTATAATAAAATCCTTCCCCTTAAACATATCACTGAGAGGTCAGGTGTTCAGTTTGTACAATGCCAAGAAACAGCTTAAAATATTTGCATAATGCATTTTAATGGGAAAATATTTCAAACATATACAGAATTCAATATATCCTGTGTCTTCCTTCAGAAAATATTTAAGTTAACATTGTCTATTTTTTATAAAATCATCCTGACAGATTGTCATTTGTTGTGTTCTTTCAGAGAATTAATAATCAGCTTCAGCAGCAACTAAAAAGAAAAGAAAGGACTATCAGTTGCATCATCAAGAACATCACTGGTGACATACATCATCAGGATCAGCAGTAGCAGTGGCATCATCAGTAGAATCTTATGGAGTGACATTAGTATCATTGTGTTTGAGAAGGTGTGAGAATGTGGAGCCTCATTTTGTTGGTTCTATTCTCAGATGTTGCTTCTTCTGAAATATTTGTTTCCAAGAAGATGCTATACTCATAAGTCACAATGAATGCACACAGAAAAATAGAAACTAACATTTAACAGTTATATATCTCTGCTTAGCCATTCAGAAAACACAAGGTTCACATTAGGAGTGAAAGTAATTCCCTAGTTCCAGAATAGGAGACAACTGTGAACCTACCAGCTTTACTTGGGCACTTTTGTTGGACTAAACTGTTATTTTTATGTGATATGTTTTCAATATTATTGGAAAAAAATGAATCAATTCTTTTCTGGTGCTAGAAAATGCCTAAAAGTTCTATATAAAGCATGGAATTTCTTAATCATACATATTAGTGCCAAAAAGAATTAGATTTCTAGTACAAAAATCTTCATCTATTTTAAACCATTTCTGGGGTCTCACTTACCTTGTCCAATGTTTTGGTTCCTGGGATCTCTTGAATGAATTCGTCTGCGGAATACTAGATTGATTAGGTGTCTTATCCTTGTCATAACTGATACTAATAGTGCCAGGAACCATATTACTGATGTTATCAGGAGCAGCAGCATGTCTTCTGCCAGAGGAGGAATAGATTTAGTATAGCTGATGTGGTCAGCTGTATTTACAGAATCAAAAATGTTGTTGCTATCCTGTGTACGTTCTGGAGTGTCACATGGCACATGAACAAGAGAAGATTCCTGATCAGTAGTGAATCTACTACACTTGTGTTCTGCTCTAAGACACGCTTCAAGAACTGGATCAGTGTTTGAAAAGGGTCCATGGTGTCACTAGTGTGGTGACCAGGAGCAGGCTCAGGGTCAGCATATGGTCTCCCCCTTGCATGCCCAATGCAAACACCTAAATAATTGTGGTATCCAGAACAGTGTCCTGGGCTGAACGCACATCATTTTTGTGACCAACAGGGTCAAACCCGTCTCCATCGCATGTAGCTGTTAAACGGACACAAGGCTGGAGAACAGTAATATGGGGATCACAGGGTATAAGAAGTAAAACCTCTACCTTCTTTTTGATGTTTAAGGAAATTTTGAGATGTTAGTTTTCATTAACAATTTCACTGATTTTATTCATTTTAAGACTTATCTGTTAATGTCAGGATCTTGATATATAGGCCCCAATTGTTTCTCTTCTTAGTTTCATTTTATCACAACAGCCATTGATATTCAGTAACCTCTGCTTCCTTTCTGAGTAAAAGGCCCAGAGTTTTCAGAAATCTTAAAAGGGGATCTGCTCAGCTTTATGCCTTCTTTTCTTCTGCTCTTTATTACCTGACACTGTCATTTTCTGTATAATGGGAAGTTGTAAAAAGAAAAGGACAAAATATGTCCTTTCCTGTCTTTATGACTGGGATTTTGCATTCTGGCCAGATTAAGAAGATGTGACAATGAGGAGCTTTGGGAACAAAAGGAACCTCTCTCTTCTGCACTGCATTAATGCTCTCCCCATGACCTTTCACAATTGCCCATTAGGTTCCTGGGACAGCAGAACAGTGAGGGTGACCTTGAAATGCATGAGCAAAATGTGTCACTACCCAGAG